TTGACCCCCGAAAGTGAGTGGGAAGGGGCAGATCCTCTCCATCCAGACCCACTACACCCCTACCTCAGACCAGGTATCCTGCTGAGCACACCCGCTGCCACCAGAAAGGGCTCTGGAAAGAAAGTTGGACACAGCCTGGCCCTGCTCTAGTGGCCATGGACCATCATGTCCCTCACTGGGCCCCAGAACAGCTGAGCATCACTGTGCAGCTGTGAATAGATCCAGAGATTTGCATCTGGCTAAAAATTATACATATGCACACAATATGGTCCTTACACAGGAAGCCAGAGACGTTGGCTGACACTCAGTCACAGTGCCCCACAGTCAGCTGCTGCGTCTGGGTAGGCTAGGGCTGGAGTCCCAGCTACAACTGGCTCTCAGGGCACTTTGGGGATTTTCCAGGCTGATTCTGGCTGTGGGCAATTTAGTCTTTATGTGCAGGCATTAGACTGTGCCCTTGGGATACAATTCGACACTTCCCCCCACCCCACCCCTTCCACCTGTTTTGTTTTTTTTGTTTTGTTTTTTGGAGAGAGAGTCTCACTCTGTCACCCTGGGTAAAGAGCCTTGGCATCAGCCTAACCACAGCAACCTCAAACTCTTAGGCTCAAGCGATCCTCCTGCCTCAGCCTTCTGAATAGCTGGGACTACAGGCACCTGTCACAATGCCCAGCTGTTTTTTCTATTTTTATTTATTTATTTATTTTTAACTTTTTTTTTTATAATTTTGTAATTTTATTTTATGTTTTGTTGTTGTTGTTTTGCAGTTTTTGGCCAGGGCTGAGTTTGAACTCGCCACCTTCGGCATATGGGGCCAGCGCCCTACCCCTTTGAGCCACAGGCTTATTTATTTATTTTTATTTATTTATTTATTTATTTTTGAGACACACTCTCACTTTGTTGCCCTTGGTAGAGTGCCATGCTATCATAGCTCACAGCAACCTCAAACTCTTGGGCTCAAGCGATCCTCTTGTCTCAGTTTTTCTATTTTTAGTAGAGACAGGGTCTACTCTTGCTCAGGCTGGTCTTGAATTCCTGAGTTCAAGCGATCCACCCACCTCAGCCTCCCAGAGTGCCAGGACTACAGCCATGAGCCACCATGCCGGCCCAACTCCCCCCTTTCTCTCTTCTTTTTTTTTTTAGAGACAGAGTCTTACTTTATCACCCTCGGTAGAGTGCTGTGGCATCATAGCTCACAGCAACCTCAAACTCTTGGGCTTAGGTGATTCTCTTGCCTCAGCTTCCGAGTAGCTGGGAGTACCAGCACTGCCACACTGCCCGGCTATTTTTTGTTGTTGTTGTTGTTGTTGTTGTTGTTGCAGTTTGGCTGGGGCCGGGTTCAAACCCACCACCCTCGGTATAGGGGCTGGGACCCTAGTCACTGAGCCATGGTGCCACCCTCCCCCCTTTCTTTGCCTTTCCTTCCTTCTACCAGGTAGGGGTGAGGGAGGAGGCAGACAGCAGGGTCCCTGTATGGTATGCTGGACAACAAGCTGCTCCCTTCCCTGTCCCAATGCCCCCAGCAGATGCAGAATGGACACCCAAAGCTGCTCCTGTGGCTGGGTCCCCTGAGACCTGCATGCCCCAGGGGCTGACGCTGACACACTCCACTGCCACCCCCAGGAACCTACCTCGAGCCATTTTCATCTCTATCCCGCTGGTGACCTTCGTGTACACGTTCACCAACATCGCCTACTTCACAGCCATGTCCCCCCAGGAGCTGCTGTCCTCTAATGCAGTCGCTGTGGTAAGTGGGGGCCCTGCTCGGTCCCTAGCCCCTGGCCCCTGCTCCAGGTTCACTCATGACCTGTCCTTGTGCCCACCCAGACCTTCGGGGAGAAGCTGCTGGGCTACTTTTCTTGGGTCATGCCCGTCTCTGTGGCTCTGTCCACATTTGGAGGGATCAACGGCTACCTATTCACCTCATCCAGGTGACTGGTGTGGGGAGAGGGTGGGTGTGGGGAAAAAAGGCAGGTAGGTGCCAGGTATGTGTGAGCTGTGCCAGGTTGGGCAGTGGGGGCCCAAGGAAGGGAAACCCTGCCAGGTAGAGGAGCCTCCTGAAGCTAGGGTGGTGAATCCACCAGTGACAAGTGTCTGATCCAGCTCTGAGGTAAAGAAAACAAGAGGGAGGTGGGCTAGCTGAGGGGAAGCACCGCCCAGTGGTGCTGCTTGGGGCCTGGACCAGGAGGCCGGAGGTGACAGCTCAAGAGGGACATCAGGTCCAGGATGTGGCTGGTACCTGTCTCTGTCCCATCCCCAGGCTGTGCTTCTCTGGGGCACGAGAAGGGCACCTTCCCAGCTTACTGGCCATGATCCACGTCAGACACTGCACCCCTATCCCTGCCCTCCTTGTCTGTGTAAGTTGGGGGACCTAGGCCAGGCAGGGTATGGAGCCAGGGCTTCCAGCAACGGGAGACTTTCTGGGTAATGGCAGGAAGGAGCCCCCGGCTGTGGCAGGCGTGGGGAGGGGCTGGGGCTCACTCATCCTCCTAGCCCGAGTGGGCAGGCCCAGGGCAGCCTATGGGGACAGCAGGAGGCAGGTGGGAGGCCAGCTGTCAGCCCCAGGTCCTCTTCCAGTGTGGGGCCACGGCGGTCATCATGCTTGTGGGCGACACGTACACCCTCATCAACTACGTCTCCTTCATCAACTACCTCTGCTACGGCGTCACTGTCCTGGGCCTGCTGGTGCTGCGCTGGAGACGGCCGGCCCTCCACAGGCCCATCAAGGTGAGGCCCAGAGGGGGATGGGCTGGCCAAGGCAGGCGCCAGGTATCTGGAATTATGACAGCAACGGTGATTCCATTTTTGCCAAGTCCTGTTATATGTGTTGATATATCTAGTCCTCATGGCAACCTCCAGAGAAAAGGGTGCTTTTAACACTTGGGCCTGTGACAAGGCCCAGGAAGCCACCACAAACCCACACAAAAAACAGGCGGAAAGCTGCTGGTCTTTAGACCAGACCCTAGCCTGAGCTAAAAGAAAAGCCTCTCTATTTGCACACAAATCCTTATGTGGAGAAGTGCTCAGATGCCTGAAATGTCAAACATCGCAAACTAATCGACCTCCAGTCAAATGCAAGCCACAAGTCTGCACACAAGTGCTGTGGGGAGCGCTGAGCCTCTGATGACACATCTCCAAACCTGTGGATTGGCTTCCGGCACACAGGGCTGCTGTTGCCAGTGGGACCCCTTTAGGCCCCAGCTCCCAGGAGAGGGAAAAGCACTGCTCAGATGCCTGGGGGTGGGAGAGCCGAGGGTCCTGCACCAGGGATGTCCCCATTCCCTCTTTCCCAGGTGAACCTCCTCGTCCCCACCACATACTTGGTCTTCTGGGCATTCTTGCTGGTCTTCAGCTTCATCTCAGAGCCCATGGTCTGTGGGGTCGGCGTCATCATCATCCTCACGGGAGTACCCGTTTTCTTCCTGGGAGTGTTCTGGAGAAGCAAACCAAAGTGTGTGCACAGACTCACAGGTGAGCTGCGCAGCCCTCCTGAGGCGGCCGGAGCCTGGAGGTGGGAACTTCTTAGGGGCTTAGGGGCTCCTCCCAGAGCTGGGTCTCCTAGCAGCTGATGTGGTCGCACAGGCTGTATCCTAATTCTGGGGAGGCCTCCACAAAGGGAGCCACTTCCTGAAGACCTCTGCCTAGGGGAGGTGTCCGGAGGTGGGGTTGCCTCTCTCCCAAGGGGCTGGGTCCCCAAGATCCATCTGTCTGTCCTCAGAGTCCATGACACGCTGGGGCCAGGAGCTGTGTTTCGTGGTCTACCCCCAGGACTCCCCTGAGGAAGAGGACAACGGCCCCTGCCAGTCCTCCCCACTGCCCACCACAGAGAAGCCCTTGAAGACACAGTGAGGCGTTTATAGAGACTGAAGCAGCTGTTTCTGTTTACGTGTTGTTTTATTGAGGAGGTGTTTTTGCAAAAAAGTTGTTTTTTTTTTTTTCTGGGAAAAAAAAAAAAAAGATACGACTCTTAGACTCTTAGAGGCCTGTTGTGAGGAAGCCCTGAAGGTGTGGACTGGGTTTCCCGCCTTAGCGCTGCCCTGCTAGCTTTTCCTGAAAGGCCTCTGAATAAACAGGGCTGGTTGTCACTTGTGCTCAGGGAGTCTGTGGAGGGGCCAGACCTCGGTGGGGGGGAGGGCATCTAAGGCCCATGCCATCTAACTCAGGCACTCTCTACCATGGGTCCAGAGCAGCCCTGCCCTACAGGGATGTTGAAAATAAGAAAACAGCTCAGTCTGCCACTCCCCCACGCCCCATGATGCTACCCTAAGCTCAGCCATGCAGGAGAATCTACAGGTTCGCGCTGGGATTATCTTCCCATGAATTGCCACAGAGTGTCAGGACTTCAGAGCCCACGGTCTTGCCTAGTTTACAGGTGGGGAAACTGAGGCCCTGCCTGCAACAGGATAGAATGGATCTGGCCACCGTCAGTTGGTGACTTGGCCTCTGTCCTCTGAGAAAGCATAGAGAAGTATGCCCTGGGGCCTCCGGCCCTCCAAGAGACCCTGGGACCTCTACCCCTGCACACATTCCCAGCCCTGCCACAGTGTCCTGGAGAGGGCAGAGGGCGCCAGCCTGACGAGCTACCACCAAAGGCATGAGAGTGGGGACAGAAACCTCCCACCCCAGCTCCCTAGGGCCTTGCTGGGGCTCAACATGAACAGAGCATCCACCATGGACAAGGTCCAGCATCCCTTCAGCCCTGCTTGGTCCTCATTGCAACTCCTGCACAGCTCTGAGGGGCGCGGGTCCACCGTGGGGTGTACAAGGCAAGCCACGTCCCAGCGATGGCCCTCCCCTGGCCCGCTCCTCCCCGGAAATGGATTCCCAGAATGGAGTAGGGGTGCAGAAGGGAGACCTCAGGGTGCTCGTGTGCACTGGGACGCTGCAGATGGGCTCACCGCTCCCCTCCTGCCCTGACCAATCCCCCAGGGTCCCTGCCCACTGTGCCCTCCAGGGGCAGCCACAGCTGGGTGAGTCTGTCCGTAAGAAAGGACTCGGAGGCAGGGTACAAACAACTGTGTATTCCCTGGTTACAAAGCGGGGCTGTGGCGGTCACCAGCGAGCCCGGCAGGTCAACAGACCAGCAGGGCCTCGTCGTCACTGGCCTCCAACATCGGGGAGCAGGGTGGTGGGGGGCTCCTGCAGACCCCCAGTGGTTCTGGTGAGTGGGGGCCTCGGGTGCTGCTGGCAGTGGGGGACTGGGTGTGGGGGTCCTGGGCCGAGCACGGCTCCCATGATGTGTCCACAGGGGTTGGTCTGTCCACCAGAGTGTCCCTGCCGGCCTTCGTGTCCTTGTCCACAGGCCTGCACTCCGGGTCTTGTGGGCCTGAGGGTGGGGGCGGTGCCAAAGGTCCCACCTCTACAACATGGTTGGGGGCACTAGAGGGTCCGTCCCCGGCTGCCCTGGGGCTCCCTGTGTCTGTCAGGGGTGCGGAGGGATCCGGGGCAGCCCCTGGTGCGGGCTGGAGGAGCCCATCTCCCAGCACCGTTTGTGAAGTGCGCCCCGCAGTCAGCAGCGGAATCTGGCCTCGAGGAGCCCGAGGCCTGTGGAAGAGCCGGTTCCAGAGGCGGCCCAGGCGGCGGCGGGAGGGCCCCCTGCGGGAGGTGTGCCGGCGCATCTGCCGCCGCATGGCTGTGCGAAGACTCTGCAGCACCGAGGCCTGCGGGGCAGGGCGGAGGCTTAAGGGGCGGCCAGGATGCGCAGGCGCAGAAGCCAACACACCTTCAAGGAACCTGTATCCTCCACCTGGCACCCCCAAACCTGGCCACAGCCCCCCAGGTCATACAGCCCAGGCCTCTCCTTCTCCTCCTTCAGCCTCTGAATGGCCCAGCCTGCATGCTGTCCCCACCCCGACCCCCAGACCGGTGGCCTCTCTGTCTCCTGTCTTGTCTGTGGTCTGGCCCAAGGCCCAGTGGGTCTCACCTGGGATGCACTGTAGACAGGAAAGTCCTCCACGGGCGGAATGAGGCCCTGGGCAATGAGCTGACCGTAGGAGGGGGGAGCCTCCCGCCGCACAAACTCCGCCTCTAGGCGCGTCATCTGGGTCTCAAAGGCCCTAAAAGCAGGGGACAGAGGGCAGCATGGCGGGGCTGGCTGGGACCTGCCCTGTTACAGGACGCAGGGACCCGCCTCCATCTAGAATTGCAAGACACCCGGTCCCTGGTGTGGACAGATGGCTCGTGAGCCAGAGCCACCGAGCAGTGCGGACAAAGCTGAGGCTCTGCGTGGCGTGCCGCCCACCTGTACTCCTGTGTGCGGAGCGAGTACAGCTTGAAGGCGCAGCCCAGGGCGATGACCAGCAGCAGGCCACACACCAGGCTGCCGATGAGTGCCGCGGTGATGACCTTGCGGGGCACCGCCGCCAGGCAGCCGTGCTCGTCGCTGCCATCTTGGCAGTCCTCCTGGCCATCGCAGCGCCACGTCTCAAAGATGCACAGGTTGGTGCCACAGTGGAAGGTACCCGGTTGACACGAGAAACAGTTCTTCTCATCAGCGCCGTCCGGGCAGCTCTTCTGGTTGTTGCAGCGGTCGGCAGGTGCGTAGCACAGGCCGCTGCCACCCTCGCAGGGGTACTGGTCGGGCGGGCAGGCGGGGCAGCCCTGCTCGTCTCGGCCACTGGCACAGTGCCACCAACCGTCGCAGCGCTGGGGCTCTGAGAAGCAGCCCTGGTCTCCTGAGTCAGCCCCGTCGCCTTCGCCGCTGCTCCCGCATGGCTGCTCCCAGGGTAGGCAGTAGCCCTTCACCTGGTAGGTGGCGTTGAAGCCGTGGCCGGCGCTGCGGGCACGGGCGTGGTAGGCCACGGTGAGGCGGCCCTGGGCGGCCTCCAGGCTCACTGGCCGGTGGTTGCTGCGGTAGGACAGCGTCTGCAGAAGCCGGTCCCCGCGCTCGCCCAGGCCTTCGTACACCTGCACGTAGTCGTCGTAGCCCAGTCGTAGCTCCAGCTGCAGCAGCACGCGCCGTGGGTCCTGCGTATCCACCAACCACGTGCAGTGAAGGTCCGAGGGCCCGCGGGCTGCACCAAACAGGTCCGGGGAGGCGAACGAGCCGTAGAAGCTGCCCAGCCGCCGGCCACACGCCAGGTCGGGACAGCCGGCCTCGTCGGAGCCGTCGCCGCAGTCCTGTGTGCCGTCGCAGCGTCGCTCCACCGGCAGGCAGCGCGTGGAGCGCGCCCCGCTGCACGGGAAGGTGCCCCCAGGGCACAGGCTGCCTGGAGGTTCAGAGGCAGGCGCGGAGCAGTTGCCCTCGTCGGAGCCGTCCCCGCACTCGTCCACGGTGTTGCACTGCCACGGGCCGGGCAGGCACTTGCCGTTGTCACAGCGGAACTCGTCTGCCTGGCAGGTCGCCTGGCCCAGCTTCCCTGTGGGGCAAAGGGGTGGCAGGAGACCGTCAGTGGAGAGCAGAGCCTCCCTCCAGCACAGAGCCCTGGGGCCAAGAGCCGGCAGGAGTTCCCCATCCCAGTTGAGCCTCTGTGGGGCACAGGCAGAGGCATGACGGAGGAGAAGGGCCTCTCCCTGTCCGTGGCTATCTGAGGGTGGGCTCAGGTCCTATACCTGATGTTGGGGAGAGTCCTGCCCCCGACTCAAGCCTGTGAAGTGGAGCCAGTGACCTCAGGAGACTCATAAGCATCGGGGAGGGGGCTGGCAGCATGACCAGTGCCACCACCTTCCCAAGATGGACAGGCCGGTCAGGGGGACCCCACAGGAAGCCAGAAGCCCACCACAGGCTCCTTGAGTCCTCCGTGGGTGTCCCCACCCTACCCTGCGGCCACCATCACCTCGGATGTAGGAGAGACGGAAGCCCTGGGCCTGGCCGGAGCTGGAGGCATCTGAGTGGAAGAAGATCCAGACGTGGTCGCGGGCAGAGATGAAGGCAGGCGGGATGGCGGATCCGCAGAGGCGGAAGGCCTCCTGGCGGGGCGGAGCTGCGGGGCCCAGCAGGAGCCAGTCCAGTGAGCACTGGTGGGACTCCTCCACATCAAAGTTCCGGAAGCTGTGGGGCCGAGAGGACCACAGGCATGGCTAGGCAGGAAGGGCCCCATAGCCAGGGAGGACCCAACAGAGTGGTCAGGTCCGCCCCCTCCACTGCACCTGATGTCTCCACTCCCAGCCACTCTGCCCCCACCCAGAGGTCCTAGTGCAGCTCCCTGAAGAACCACAATATCCGTGAACATCATTTTGGGTTGCACTGCACACACACATCTCTCCCCAAACTTCCAAAGCCTCCTCCCATTTTTCACTGTTCAGCCCAAAGCCACAGTGGAGGGGGGAGTCGGACCCCCAGACACTCTCCCCTGAAGGGCAGCGGCCCAAGTGCCCAGATCCCTCCCACTGTGTCTGCTGGGACAGGCCAGGCATAGCTCTGAGGGTGAGCTGGGTGACAGCTTGTCACCTGGGGTCTAGCCCTGAACCCCCTGGCTCAGAGCCATAGGGAAACTGAGGCACCAAGCCTAGAAAGATCCCACAGGTCCCTGTGCCTTGGGGCTATGGAGGAACAAGGAGGTTGGACCTTCTGGGTTTTGGCACTTAGGAGAATTATGGCAGACAGAACCCATGGTGCTTCCTGGCCACATGTCCCTGTGACCCCTCCAGGCCAAGGGTCCCAGACCCTCAGTGTCACTACCGGCCGCCTCACCCTGTGTCCCTCTGCAAGTTGAGCACCCAGCCTCCTGCCCAGCTAACTCTCCCACCAAGACTGCCCTGAAGCCCAGTGAGGAAACCCTTTGCTGGGCTCAGTGCCAGCCTACCCTCAAGCCACCCCTGCAGGACGGACAGGACACCTCTGCCACCTCAGAGACAGCTAGACCATGCCCTCAGTTCCCCACGTGGTTCCTAGTGCTGCACTGCCAGCCCTCCCTCCCACCAATCCCCACGTCCCCTGAAACAGGGCAGGGCACCCAACTACAGAGGTCCACAGAGACAGGAGCTGGGCACACTTGCTGCTCTCATGGGCTCACACATGCACACACATGCTTACAGTTCACATGTGGTCACACGTCCTGTAGCACACCTGCACACACGTGCTCACACGTGCCCTGTATGCCTGCTTGGAGACGGACTTGTGCGTGTTCACAAGCACGGACATGTGTTCACACAGGTGCACACGCTCCACACCCACTCAGGCACACAGTCCCGCATACACTCAGTGGCCTAGCTCCTGCAGGCCCACGTTGATCCCCTGGGTCCCCTCACCTAATGGTGATCATGTCCCCACGGTCGCCCTGGATATACCAGCTGCAGTTGGTGCCCGGTGGGTAGTTGAGGGGCCAAGCAGGGCTATAGATGACACCACGCCGCTCCGTGTGCTGCTCCAGCTTCCCGCTGCAGGCAGCTGTCGGGGGAGAAGTGCCAGCCCCGTCTTCAGGCAACAAGCTTGAGCACCTCACCATTGAGCACAGGCCTCCCCCAGGGTGGGCTCTAGTCCAGTCAGGGGCAACCACGCCGAGAGCAAGGCCACAAGGCAAGATTTCTCAAAAGTGGTGTGTTTGGGAGGTCAAGGGAGACCGCCCTGGACTCAGGGAGGCTGTAGCCCCAGCCCTACTCAGTGTGATAAAATAGGCCTGAAGGAAGGGGGCGATGACCAGACAGGCTGGAAACACAACTGGGTCTGACCATACCTGGTATAGAAATTGGGCTTTATGCTGAGTATGTGTGTAAGTGGGAAGCCACAGCAAGTAGGTGTCAAACCAGAGGAGGAAACTGAAGCTCAGAGAGGGCAAGTGACTTGCCCAGGGCCACAGAGTGAGGGGTAAGGTCAGGAGTCACCCTGGTCCTCTGACGGGCTCAGCCTCTCTCGGCCCTAAGCAGCAAGCATTTGTAGTGTGTCTGCCGCAGGCCGAATCAGGCGTGGGCACCAAGCATCACAGCAGCCAGCTGAAGGGAGGACCCGCCCAAACCCAGCCCCACAGGCCTCACTTTAACCAATTCCTTACCCGTGCCCTCTGCTCCCAGCCAGCCCCAGCCAGCCTGAGGACTCCAAACCAGCCAAGGCAGCAGGGTGGGCCTGCCTTGCCCTGCCACACTCTGTGCCCTGGGTCCCTGTACTTGGCTGCACCCCCTCCTGCAGCTCTCTCCCCTCCTCCACACTGGTTCATCTGATCCTCGCAATGATGTGTGATGAAGGCAGGGTCCATTTTACAGATGGAGAAACCAAGGTCCAGGAAGGTAAGTAATGACTTTATACCTAAGCGCAATGATACCACTTCCTCCCTCTGCAACTCCAGCACCTGCCACTGTGCGCTGGGAGAAGCCCTCTCTCTGGTTCTCAGCAAGACCCTCAGAGACCCTACATGGTGCAGCTGCGGAAAGGAGGAAAGCCCTCTGGCAGCCTCCCATGCTCCTAGGACAAGGGTACAATTCACTGCAGTAGCCCTGCCCCCTCCCTGTCCACCCCTCTGCCTCACACCTCCCTCAACCCCTCGTCACCCAGCCCTGTGCCTCCTGTGGTCCTCAGTGCGGGGAGACTTTGCTTCTGCAGGTCTCTAGATGCTCTCCCTCCCTCTCTCCTCCCGTTCACTCCTGCTCAACTTCCTCTCTCAGCTCTGAGGCCCCTTCCCAGGGAAGCCTTCCTCAACTGCCCCCAGCATAGTCCCAGCGTGCAGGCTCCTCCCTGCCCTCCCCAGCCTCAGCCTCAGCAGCAAGTTGCCTTTTGTTCCTGGGATTACCAGACAAAAGTAATAGGAAGGCAGGGGTGCACTGGCTCTGGCACGATGCTGTGTCCCAGGGTCCTGCACAGGCCACCCATGGTGACAGATGGGTGTTAATCAGTGTGGGTCACTGAGTGAATTGGCCCAGTCACCCATTAACCCAGGTATGAGCTGTGAGCCAAAACCCCTTCCCACAGAGTCCTGCCATGAACATGAAGGTCCCTGTGGTCTGACACAGCGATGAACGGAGAGTTGGTAACCCCAACCCCACCAACTAAGTTCACATCTGAAGGCTCACAAGAGCACCAAAGGGCAGGCACAGAAATACCCTAAATACCCTAAATATCCTAAAGCAAAGCTGGCCACCATCAGGTCACCATCAGACTCTCAACAGTCCTGGATCAGCGAGGTACAAGCCAGTGTCTGAGAGCCTGGCACCTGATTCTCACACCTGAACCTGACTTCTCACCCAGAAATGGGGGCCAGGCACTCTGTCCCCAGCCCAGGAGAGTCTGGACCAAGCTAAGAGGGCAGAATGCAGCACGAATGTGCGAGTGCCCCTGTGACGCTGAGGCCACCAGCCATGTGGACCTCACAGACCCCCTAGTTACCCACCTGGTAAACCCCGGAGATGTGGCGTTATGAAATCCATTGGGAGTTTTTTCTTCCCAGACGGTGCTGAGCAAGGCCTTCCAAGTGGAGGGCCCAGTGAGGCTGGGCACATCCTCTCCCAACACTGAGTCTCCAAAGCACAGGTTTAAACCAAAACCAGCAGGGTGAGACGGCTCACGCCTATCCCAGCACTCTGGGAGACCGCAGGCAAGTGAATCACTTGAGCTCAGGAGTCAAGACCAGCCTGAGCAAGAGTGAGACTCTGTCTCTACTAAAAACAGAAAACCTAGCTGGGCATTGTGACGGGCCCCTGTAGTCCCAGCTACTCAGGAGACTGAGGCAGGAGGATCACTTGAGCCCAGGAATTTGAGGTTGCTGTGAGCTATGACTCCAAGGTACACTACCCAGGGTGATGGAATAAGACTCTGTCTCAAAAACACAAACAAAAACAAAAAAGTATCAGGCCTCCAGGTCAGAAGACCTCAAGTCAGGAAGGGTGGGAACCAGCCCCTGTTTACCTGTACCCTCAGCCCAAGGACAGCCAGTTGTAGAGTAGGGCCCCATCTGTCTTGACAAGGAAACAGACAAAACCTGCCTGTCCTGAAGGCATCCACAGAGGCCAGACCTCTCACCCACACCAGCCAGGGGAAAGCCAGGCCCTCACACCAGGCGTCACCTGCCATCCTCCTCTCTCTGGCCTGCCTCAGCCAGAACACCTCTTCCTCCTAGACCTACATCTGGCCATTTGTTCAGGCACTGGGAGGCCTGTCTCTCCAGATCACCAACCATGCCACGAGCAGATGACTGGAAAGCTGCCAGCCAACTCTGCCTCTCAACAAAGCCCTAGTAACACATCCCCTCAAACAGCCTCACCCCTGAGGGCACCCCAGGAATTCCCCAATCGGGGCCACAGTGGCATTGGCACTCACTTAATTCTTTTCTCTTCCTCAAGGGGGCTGGAATACCGTAGTTTGTGAAGCTATCAGGCTGACCCCACACAGAGGGGTGTGGGCAGGAGGGAGACTGGAGACCACCCAGGAGCTCTGGGCAGAAGCTCTTAACTAGACGCTGCTTGGCGGTGGGCCTCAGACAGCTGCCCCCAGCACTCTTTGGGAGGTGGGCCTCAGTCCTGGCCAGTACACCACTCCAGGCAGTGGCAGGGGAGGACCTCTTGTCTCCTATACCAGGACACATTGTCAGACTGTTCTGCCCTGGGCCTCAGCATGTCCATCTGTAAAATGGAGTCAGTGGGTGTTACTTATCTCCCAGGGACAGCCGGGAAACTTGTGGAAAGAAGCAGTTTCTAGGCAGACATTCAGGTGGCAGGGGGTTGGGGTTGCCAATGGAGGAGAGTCTCCAGGAATACCCAGGGTGGCAGTGAGGCCGATAACGGGCTGTATGAGGGTGGAAAGGCAGTGAGGAGAGGTGAGCTGTGAGTTTAGGGGGACACTGATGCGTAGAGAGGGGCTTGGGGGGCAGTCAGAGAGGCCCATCTGAGCTTTAACTGGAGACACCTGCTTCCACTCTGGCAGAAGACCTCCGCCCTCAGGGCCAGGGCAGCAGCTCGAATGGGCAAGGAATGACTGGGCACTTTTAGGCCAGTGTCCTTTCCTCCCAAATACTCCTGAGAGGACAGAGCAAGGCCTAGTGTAGCACAATTTACAGATCTGATTTCCAGCAGTGATCAATAAATACTCCAGACAGCCTGCCTGGTGTAACCCGACGACAGGGAGCCTGGAGTCCACCCCAGACATGCCAGAGAAGTTGCCAGGTGACCAGAGGGCACATGAAGACCCTACCTGGGCTCACCCACTGGGGCCATAGAGGCCTGTGGCAGAGCCTAAAGGCCAGGGGAGAGGGGGGAGCCAGAGGTAGATCTTTTGGCCAGTCAGTCCCTAACAATGAGCATGGACAGAGCCTGAGGGGCCAAACCCCGTGACGTCCCTGGGCAGCCCAGCTGGGCTAGCAATAGCATCTGAGCCCAGTGAGGGCTGAGGAGGGCAGGGGACAGTTCCTGACCCAGGCTCCCCTGAAAATGCAGTCATGGTGCCATGGTGGGAGGGGGCACCCCAGCAGCCTGAAGCTGGTCAGTGTCAGGGCCAGACTCCAAGAGAGCTCCGGTGATCACCCACTATGGCCACACCAGCCGTTCGCAGCTCCCAACACCAAGGGCACCACACTGACAGCAGCAGCCCCTGACATAGGCAGTGTGAACCCTGCTGGGGCCTGAGGTCCTGACCGCTAAAAACAACCAACTGAATGGTGTCTTTCCCTCCCTACTGCTGCAAGTGGCCCTTGTCCCTGGAGCTTCACTTTTCTAAACCTGGGTACAGATAGGTTCAGAGCCACAGGGTACAGGCAGAGACCATTGAGGTGATATGCCCACCAGCCTGAGGCTCATGTTTGTAAGTAACCCCCATGAGGTGACCCCCATGGCCACCTTCCCCACTCTATGCCACGGCCACAGCTGGGCCAGTCTGTCCTTTTCTGGAAATTGGGATGGGAGACGGGGTCATCCACTCTAGGGGCTGAGGTGCCAGGCTGAGCAAGGCAGAGCCCTGGGCCAGCCTGCTCAGCAGAGGTGGCCAGGCTGCAGGGCACGGGACTCAGTGTAAAGAAGACCCAGGGGGAGAGAGAGGCAGAGCCTTGGAGAGGGGCCAGCAGGAACGGCTGCTGTCCACCCTGGGTCTGGGGATCCCAGTGACCATAGCCAGCAGGGGTCTCTCTCTGCCATCATTGGGTCCTCACACCTGAGTGAACCCCCAAAGGTTTTTGCAGCAAGCTGTGCCCTGGGCAGACCTAAAAGCCCCAGGTACTTCCTGCCCCTCCTACAGCACAACAGGCAACCGATGAGGCAGAGGGCCCGCCCACTGGCTACCCCTTGACCTTGTGCTCAGTTCGGTGCCTTTTTAGGGTTGGTTGGAGATGAGGATATTTTAGCTGAATGATAAGAGAGATGGCGAGATTTAGCAATTATAGAACAGGCTCCCTGACATCAAGGGACATAAGGGTCTGAGCTGACTCCCCAACCCCCAGCAGCCCCCTGCCCCCTGTTCTTGACAGTCCTCACTGTGCTCAAGGACAGCAGTGGATGGACAGACCAGCAGGAGGAGGGGGTTGGAGGGGTCTTCTAACCGCATCCTCCTAGTTTCCATCCGTACTGATGACCAAAATGTTTACCTCTTTCCTGCAGGTTGGCCGGACTGGAACTCACCTGCAGACCAG